TAGCCTGTTTAATCTGTTTTAAATGCAAAATTGGCTGAAGAAGAAGATCTTACCCAGGCTTCACAACAAGAAAGAATGTTGATTTTCAATTTTGCAATAAAGTGCAAGCCCACTGAAGTCCATTCTTCCCTCTGGACAAACGGAAACATCAACTGTTCACAAGCTCTGAGAAATAAGCAAAAGCAGGTGGGTTTGGAGGGGAGTTGAAACCTGGAGGAGACGCTCAGGGGCGACTGTCTCACGTCTTCTGTCGCGGATGCAGCCTGTTCACGCAGTGACCCAGACAGGGGCAGCGCTGGGGAGCAGTACATGTGAGGGGCAGGGCAAGGAGGGCTGCAGAGCTCCGGAGCTTCCGGGAGAGACCCCGGGAAGACGCCAGGGTTCTGTGCGTGAATTTGCACAAGACTCGGGCTAATTTCTGTGGAACCCATGCACGTGACACAGCCAACCCAGCCCAGCCCAGGCCCGAAGGCTGGCTGATGTCCTGGTATTCCCGTTTACAGAGGCTAGATCCGCAGGTTGAGCTCTTGGAGCCATGCCCTTGTGGGATTGAGCCAAAGTATGCAGGAAATTTAAATCAGAACTGTATCATAGAGTTTTGGATGCAGTTAAAGCTCACTTAGAAGAAACTTGGAGATGTGATACTTTCAATAGAAAACAAGGAAGCTCTAAAATCCACTAACGGTCTACATCAAGAAGGAATTTTAAAAATGCTCACTGAACAACCAAAATCATTTCATTTAATTTTTCCTATTGACAGGATAAAGGAGAAAAACCATATGATCCTTTCATCAGACAAAGAGAAAGCATTTGATAGGACTCAAATTCATGATAAAAGCCTTCGGCAAACTACACATCCTCAAATTGATGACAGGCATTTTAAAAATACTGGAGCCAGCCTCGCACTTAATGTGGAAAAATTTCATGGCAGCTCTTTGCATGTGGGAGTGAGGCAAGAATGCATACTTCTCCAAGCTGGGGTCCACCAGCATCCAATGTCCTGGAGGATGTAACTTCTGAAATGCAGTGTTACGGAGAAATATAGGAGAGAATAGGAGAAAATGGAAAAAGTCAAACTAAAACCCCAGGCAATGCACAGAAACTCAGTGCCACCTGAACCAACATGTGAATTTAGCAAGGTCAGAGGACTGAAGACCAACAGTCAAAACTCAGTATCTTCTCATACACTAGCAGCACACCGCTGGAAAATACGTAACGGTTGTATTTGTAGTGTTGCCAAACCATTAAGAATTTAGGAATAAATTAACAAAATATGTCCATGATCCATATGCCAATAAATATGGAGATTTCTTAAAGAAATTAAAAAAAAAAAAAACCTAAGCGGAGAGAGTTGCTTTGTCCATAGACTGGAATACTCACTGCTGCTTTGTTGGAGCCCTTCCCACACTGAAGTGCAGATCCACGTGCAATTCAAATCAAAATTGAATCATGCTTTTTCTGTAGGGCATGACAAGCTAATGATACAGTTTATATAGAAATACAGTGGACTTAGAATAACTGCAACAGTTTTTTAAAAGCAGCACAGCCCTGTAGCACTCACCCAATTCTATGACTTACTGTAAAGCTATCGTAATGAATAGTGTTGGACTGACAAAATGCAGGTATAGTTCAAAGGAACAGAGTATCGAGTCTAAAATCAGACCCTACCTTTGTGGTCCATTTTAGTTTTAAACAAAAGTGCCACAGCTATGCATTTGGGGAAGAAATACCTGTTCAACAAATCATGCTGAATCAGCAAATGCAGCATCACCCATGATGCTGTGTGTCTGCGTAGAAGCAGGAAGAACGCTGGGAACAAGTGTGCTGTTCTGTATTTCAGTCCTTTATCAGTGTTTTCGGTACCAGGGCTCGAACTTAGGACCCTGCACTTGCCAGGCAGGCACTGTGCAGCTGAGTTCCATCCCCACCCCTTTGTCTGTTTCTGTGATGTCTTCAGTGCTGCTTTCTGTTTTTACTGTGCATAGAGCTTGCTTTCTCTTTCACCTCTCCTTGTTTGCCATCCTCCCATGAGTATACACATTTGTTTGCCTTAACAAATCTCAATTGCATACTTATTTTCTACTTTATGACATTCTACTCTTACAACTATTTCCTTCTCTTTATATGTTTAGGTTCAATTTAGAGTTCTTTTTTTTTTTATAACTTTGGAAGATGGATGCTCAGCTTTTCTTGTTGCATGCTTGTTTTCCAGTATGTATATTTACGACTATAAATTTTCTTTTAGCGTAGCTCAGTGGCATCCTCAGGTTTTCATGTGCAATTTGATGATATTTGCATTTTATTTATTCAAGTTATTTTAAATGTTTATTGTGATTCCTTGTCTTGTTTTTCCTTGATTAGCCTATTTTTCTAAGTGATCATGGATTTGTTGCTTGACCTTGTAATTCTGTTTACTTGTGCTTTATATGTTTTGAGACCGTGTAATGAAGCACATATAAAATTAAAACCGCACTCTAAAGCTTTCATTGTTAAAATTTGTATGGCACATATTTTTCTTCAGCACTTTTATTTGGACATGTCTTTGAAATTGTTTTTGAGTTTAATATTTTTAATCCAGCGTGACAATCTTTGTCTCTTAAAGTGATATATTTCTTCTTCTGCTTGTAATAACATCGGTGATACATTTGGGTTTAAATCTGCCATCTTCTCTTTTTAATCAGTCTTACCCTTTATGCTTTATTTGCAGTCTCTTTTCTTTCTTATTTATATGATTGAGAATTATTTAACCTTCTACTTTCCCCTCCCGGCAGTTATATATTTAAAAAGTATCTTTAGTGGTTTTTGTGTCATGTAGAGACAAGGGCCAACATCAGTCGGTACGTTCACATTCTTCAACCCTTAGTTTCTCTAAACAAAATTATTCTTCGGTACCTTCTATCAGTGAATTTTGGTTTGTGCCGTTCTGAGGCCTGTTTAGGTCTGTTTTTGTTGTTTCTGCTCTCATTTGCATGACTTGCTTTTTATATCCCTGATGATCCTGCCCCAGAGTCTCACTGGTCTTCATCTGTGGGAGCCTGGAGCCTCTACCTGTGGGATGCTTTCTTCTGATGACTGCTCGAGTCTACCTTGCTGGATGCGGGCTTAGTCCTGGTGTGTTTCAAGAATCGTGCTGTGTGCGAGTGTCCTTGCCTTGGTGGACACTCACTCCTGCTCATGCTGTCCCACCCTCAGCACCAGGTTTCAGGCTTCCAACTCTTGCAATTGCCAACCAGCTGCAGGAAGTATTTTCATGAGGAGAGAGATTCCTCGGATAACCTTGCTTTGCTTTCCTGATAAGAACTGTTTGTCCAGAGTCTGGCTGCAGACTGTCAGTGTGAAAGTGGTGCCCATGACCTATCCTAGGTCTGATTCCTGGAGACAGAGCTGTGATCCAGCATTTCTCTGTGGTGGAAGAATCACGACGTGTCATGTTGTGATTTGTACCAGATGATCATCTTTTCACTGCTATGTGTGAATCGACAGAGACAAGCACCATGTCATCCTCAAGTGCACATAACTCCTGCATTCCTGAGAGAAGCATCAGTATGACCTGCTTATGTGCCATCCTGACTTTATGAAAAAGATGTGCAATATTTGTATTTAATCATATTTTGACTTTTCAAAATGAAGAGATTAGATATGTTGAACTGGCATTAGATGCAGTGTTTGAGTATTCTGACGATCTTATTTTGTCTTTTATTCTTTACATTGTAGACCAGGATGTTCGATGTAATTATGTGACACTAAATGTGTATAAATGTTTCGTTAAGATGTACACGTAATACTAACAGGAGCATATACATATATTTGGTGTTTGGCAGAAACTTTTAATATAGTTTAGAGTTCTGATTTTCTTCTAGGTGATGGTATGGAACCAAATAAAATGCCTGGCTACATGTAATTTTTTAAAATTTAAAACTAGTTAATCAAATGAGGATTGTGTTAATTAGAGGCTCCGAATAGGGGATGATTGTGTCTCCATGGGTCGCCGGTTCTGACTGGGCACCCTTTTGGTCATCACACGGAACGGGGAAGGTGCTCCTGTCTCCCAGGGTTGCTGCCCAGGGTCTCATCATGGCGATGTGGGTCCCCACAACGAGGCATGGCCCAGCTCTAAGTGTTGACAGTGCTGGAAGTGAGACCACCTGCTATGAACAGATAATCTTGATAATAGACTTGGTATAAAAGAGAACTTGATCAAGAATTGTGTTTGGAGACCTGTCTTGTGGGCTTCATGGTTTCTGCATGAAGGTCGGCTAACAGCAGTGCCATGTTATATTTGGCATTTTTGCTATAAGCAAATCCCAGTGAAAGGCGTGCCCGGGGACTTCTGCACCAGTAGGGTGTGCACCTCCAGCTCCGCCTGGGCCCTCACACCACAGGTGCATCGTGGGTCCCCCAGCATCTCCAGCTGGGCCCCCATGGCAGCCTGAGCAGAAGGACTCCCACACCTCACTTTTCCTTCTAATTGTCTTCCTGCTTCTTCCTGGATACAATTTTCTGCATCTGTCCAGGGCTGTGAAAAGTTATCTGCTGCATTTAAATAGACCTTTCCTTCCTGTCTCTGATGGTTATAAAAACTGTGGATTTTCTTTTTAAACTCAAAGTGTGATGTTAAAAATAAATGGAAGGGCCGGGGATTTATATCAGAGGCACTGTGAGGTACAGAGTTTGATCCCCGGTACCTGATGGAACAGGGCCTTTATAGAGCTTGGAAAGAGATTGCCTTCCTTTCAGATTTAAATTTACTGTGGACATTAACACAAGTCGAGGAGGAATCCCTGCCTCTGCTATTGTACTTTTTTCTCTGTGAAGCTTCAGTGTGCATATGTGATAGTAAATTCTTTCCAGACTGGGAATTTGAGTCTGACCTTTTATAAGAAGGGAGAATGCAGGGCCCCCTTATCTTCCCTTCTTTTAGTTTGAAAGGCATCTTAGAAAAGAAGTCTTGTGTATGTTCTCATTTTAAGTAGGGTTTCACTCTCCACCCTCTCTTCCAGGCGCTGGAGCATCTCCACTTAATAGAATACGTGGGGGAGCAGACTGCTTTGCTAATAAAGGTACAGTCAGTGCTATAATAGAATGTCCCAGCCACTGTTCTTTGATTTTTGTAAAAAAAAAAAAAACCCAGTAAGGAGAGGTCACACTAATTAAGTAAAGAGCGCAGCAGGGAACCTATTTTATCCTGATTAGTCTAGAGATGAAGGGAGATTTTCCCCCAGAGAGTATCAGTCACAGGTGCTGCTGCCTTCCAGATCACCCTTAGTTAAATCCTGCCTGAGAATGAGAGCTGTGGGTGTTCCGTGGCTGCTGCGAAGTCCCAGTGCCAGCCCCGGCTCTGTGGGGCCACAGGACCAGTGAGTGGCCCGGGGTTGGTGAGGCACGTGGTGTGGGTGTGGCCCTGGTTTGCACACGCGTGTGCACTTTGGTCTTGCCACGTGTAGCCCTCCTTTGGCCCCTGCCGCGTGTCACCTGGCACAGCACACTGAGGGGTGTGTGATGGAACAAGAGTGTTGACGTTGGGCACTGCTGTTGTCCCTCCCTGCAGACTGTTCCGGAGGACCGGCGCCTGGCCGCCGCCATGGTCCTGGTGATGTGGGTCTCGGCCTTGGTGTCTTCCCTGATCGACAACATCCCATTCACTGCCACAATGGTGAGTCAAGCTCCAGCGGGTGCACGGTCTGGGCCTGCCCCTTATTCTGAGGAAGCGGAGCGTGCAACACGCTCATGTACCACACTCACAGGTCTAGAGCACAGCACGGGCACAGCCTAGGGCAGCAGGGCAGGAGCAGGGGGCGAGGACCCACACGGCAGCCGGCAGCCCAGGGCGTCTCCTTGGGGACTGGCCAACCCCACTGAGGACTTCTCCCTCCCAGAAAATACTTTTTTCTCTTTTTTATAAGAAAACCACATTATACATAATTTAAAGAGCAACATAAAGGAGAAAAGAAAAGCTAGCACAAAGTGGGGAGACAGATCCTCTGCAAGTGGGCAGGGGCCCCAGAGACGGAGGGGCGGGAGGGAGTGCTTAGGTCATGCTCTGTGCCCCACCACCCCACGGCAAGTGCGATTCTTAAGTACTGTATTCCAAACGCACTCGTATAATAAGCATAGAAACAAAGTCAATTCTCACCTTGAAAAGAGAGAAATAGTTGAGACATCAAAAGATAGACATTTTCATCCTTATTTCTATCCAGTCTCAGTGGCTTCTGGTGCTGGAGCTGCTCAGGCTGAACACTTCTGTGCTCCTGAGCCCAGCCACATTCATTGTAAGCTTCCCGCAGGGCCAGTGAGTCCTGTTCCTGGGGTTTTGTCTCAGGGCAGGAGCTAACTGTGAACTCAGGAGTGATGAGGTAAAGGTGGGAGCAGGGCTTTGCACCCAAGAAGTGGGGTCCTGGTTCACTGACACAGGGTTGAGTGTGTGGCGTGCACTCCTGCAGGACACCGGCTGAGGTAGGCAGCTCCCGGGGTGTCCATCATCCTGTGTCATGTAGGGGTCAACGGGCCCCCACAGAGAGAGCGGCAGAGCTGACAGGGAGGAGAGGGTGGGCCGAGCCCGCAGCCGCTTCACCATGCTGATTTCCATGCTGGAAATCTGTGTTGCCCTCGGCCTGGGACCCAGTGTCTGCCCACTTTCACTGTCGAGCAACCTGGCTGTTCTTTCAGAGTCTGGGTTTGGAAGCCTGAGCTCACTTTGTAGCTGATTTTATATTTTCATGAAGTCCTGAGGCAGAGATGTTACATGCCTAGTGTCAGGGGAAACGAACAGCACAGAACAATATTTGGAGATTGTTATCTTCTGTGTAAGAAGCAGGGACATGAATATGACAACATATGTTTTGAAATAAACAAAGGGCAGAATAAAAACAGTTGTTTTCACTGTGCTTACCTAAACACTAAAGCTAAAAGGCAGAGATTGGCAAATTTAATTTAATTTAAAAAGTAAGTATCAACTTACTTAAAGAGTATATTCTTTACAAGAAATGCACTTTAAATATAAGGACAAGTTGAAAGAAAAAGGATGGGAAAAGAGCATACAACACTAAGCATAAGAGAGTTGATGTGGCTATAAAAATAACAAAGTAAACTTTAAGAGAAAGTGTGTTCAGGAAAGAGGTATCACCATGAGGAAGGGCGGGTTCCCCGGCAGGCAGGACGTGATCTGAGCCGTGCCCCACGACAGCTCCAGGTGCACCACACAGAAGCCAGGGCGGCTTGCAGCTTGGCTCCCTGCGGCTGCCAGAGGTGCATCTCCTCTGGGGTTCCTGAGACGCCCATACCATTCACAATAGCAGAAGCACCCCATGGCCCCACTGCTTAGCACTGTCCTGAGCACCCAAGCAGCAGGGCCACTGCACAAGCCTTGCGTTCAACCTGTACCTTATACACATTAACTGCCAGTGAGACAATCAATAATCTTGGTGCCACTTTTATGCCCATGTCACTAATAATGGGGTCCTCCAGGCCAGTAGGTGGGCAGTCGGCCCCAAAGTTCTCTTAGAAGGGCCTGCTTTCTAGAGAACTGTCTTAGTCTCCTGTGCCCAATCTCTCAGCGAGACCCTTACCCAAGACATGACACAGTGATGCAGTCCAAAGAAGAACTTCATTTGGCTGGCCAGGACCCACCCTCCAGTGGAAGTGGCCATGGAGTCCAGTCCCAAGTTGAAGTTGAGTACAGTTTTTATAGGAAGGAACCTCCCCGCAAAAACTTACCCCCTCCTCCCCCTCCCAAAAGCTGCTGGCAGTAATCGTCCAGGTGCCTCTTACCTTGGTTTGCTTTGGGGTCCCGCATTGATCGCTTGGTGGGAAAGAGAATCTTGGCTCGCTGGGCCCGATCTGGGGCCGTGTCCCTCCGGGCCCCAAAGCAATCTTTAGGGCCTCCTTTACCCCAGTGTAAACTTCCTTATCTAAGCCAGAACAGCATGAAATATTTTAGCTAGGGACTGGGTCTCCTCACAGGAAAATTCCCGAGCTCAGATAGGGGTTGGATAGCACGCCTGGCAGGTGAGCCTCATAAACCCTCCCTGCGGTGTCAGTTCCACAGTAGCCATGAACACGCTTTGTGGTCTCTAAAGGGCAGTAGGTGGGTTTTTCCCAGAAGAACAATCTTGAGGTTACACAGAGGACAGGCTAAGCCACCAAAGGGTGGGTTTTAAACAAAATGGAGTCTCTTATGTCAACCCAGGTTTCTCATCCGAGCTTCTGGGTTTTTCCCAGAAGAACAATCTTGAGGTTACACAGAGGACAGGCTAAGCCACCAAAGGGTGGGTTTTAAACAAAATGGAGTCTCTTATGTCAACCCAGGTTTCTCAAGTCCGAGCTTCCCGGGTGGCCAGGTCTGAGGCACCTAGGATGGGAGTGTGGGGCACAAGAGGGGTGGAGGAGGAGCTGGAGCTGCTCGGAGGTGCCTTGGCATCTGGCCTGACAGTGGTGCATGGGCAGGTGACCATTTTCTCCTTGGCACACTTGGGCCAGGAGGGGCGAAGAGGGAAGGACTGACACAGGCCTCTGTCATCTCTAGTGGCCTCGGGTCCCATCTTAGTATCAGCAGAGGCCTGAAGAAAGAATGCCAGGGTGTGGAGGAAGGACGTGTGAGGTAGTGAGCTGCTGCCCCCAGCGCCCGCAGCTAGAAGAGGCCGCACACACGGAGCAAAGACTCCAGAGTGGTGCCCAGCAGAGCTCCCATGCGTAGTGGCCATACAGCTTGCAGGACAGTTGGGTGTGAAATGCGGAACATTGTCCTCCTGCAGTGAGGAAGGGACAAGATTGCCTATGAAAACCATTTCTACCAACCATGTCCCAGAGGCCAGAGGCTGTGCTTTAGACAAGAAAAGAAGTCAGAACTCTGAGGACTGGAAAAGAAGAAATAAAAACTTTTATTACGTACAGAGAACACAAATCTTAGAAAATTCAAAAGAATGCAATTATTAGCTGTTATAACTAATAAATAAATTTATCAGGGACCCTAGACTTAAAAGTTAGTTCAAAAATCAGTTGTGTTTCTATCTATGAGTGACAAACTAATAGAAAATGAAGTCTTGAAATACATGCAAATAACAACAGCATTTGTTAACATAAAAACTGTCCCAGTCCCCGATTCAGCCTAGCGTGATCATTTAAAGGTCTCTGGACACTGGTGGAGCCACCCTCACACCAGCCCTCGGTTCCCGCCAGGATCAGCTCACGCACGTCCCCGGTTCTCGGATGACCGTGTGTCCGCACATGGTGAGGTGCGCGACAGAGCCACGGAACAGGCTCTGTCCGACCCTTCATGGACTGCTTCTCCAGGCCCCACACACTCATTGGTTAGAAGTCCACCTCCCGGGCGTGCTGCAGGGTCCCAACCCATGTCCTTCCTGGGACTGATTTCCTGTTGGAAATGTAGGTTGTTCCATTTTAAAAAACAAGACACTTCACATTTTCATTCCCAAATTTTAACAGCTATTTGAGGCTTAACTTTGAAAAATATGTCAGGGAATCAGAGGCTACCGCAGCAAATGGTGTGACCCTCCCTTGTTTGCAGGGGACGTGTTCCACCACCATCATCTGAGGCCTGAGGCCGCAGGTGGCACTGAGCCCTATCTGTATACACTATATTCTTTCCAAACATGTGCAACTATGATTAAAATGTAATTTATACGTTAGACACCTTGAGATTAACAACAATGACTAATTATGAGATAGAACACTTACACGTTTTTTATATTGCTTTATTTCTTAAAAATAAAACAAATAGCTTGAACACAGAGAGAATTAAACACTCAGATTAATCCATGTGTGTGGTACGTGAGCAGAGCTCTGAACATATCTGTACACACAAGCATGTCATTGTATAGTTGGGTCTCTAGGTCCATTCGCTGCTTCTCTAGTCAATCTGTTCGGATACAGCAAATTGTTTTGTAAAATGATCTAGTTCTTCTTGCACTTCAGAGAATCTTTGCATTGTTTTCTTTGTATTAGGCTTTAAAGGCTCATTATGTACCTAACAGTCCCGCGATTGGTTTCTTTATACTGCGGAGGATCTCCGTCTATGTTTAGAACTTTTGGCAATTCTTCATTTTTAGCCTTTAAATGTTTTTAAAGCAACATGTAGGTGGATTTTTAAAGCTTCCAGCAGATAATCTTAGCTGGCGGTGATTTTATTCTATTCTTTTAGTGGGATCACTGTATTGTGGAGTGTGTAACCTAGTGACAGTATTGTCTGTAAGGAAACACAGTCTGGGGAGTGCAGAGCCCATCAGCACCTCCAGGAGGTAAGGAGTAAAGAAACAGTGAAGACTTATAGCAATAGAAAAGAGCTTGGCTATCTCCTACAGCAGTCTCTCCAGTTGGGAGTCCGGGGATCCCCCGTGGAACGCGAGTGCAGTCCTGTTGGAAAGCTCGTCTTCCAGAGGCAGGCCTGTCATGGAGCATGCTCAGTCTGAGCACATGCTCTTCCTACGTCACTTCCTCAAACATGGCGGAGGAGCGCTTCCTGGCTTGGTCCTGCAGCGTTCTCTCCAGGGCCCTTAGAACAGTGAGTCAGAACAACTCAGTGATTTTAGCTGTTTTCTCTGGAGGGCCTTATCTAAAACAGGGAAACAACTAGCAGTGATGTTCATAGTCATTTTAAAGGATAGCAGCTGCTTTCCTCTCAGGCATCGGTACTTGTGTGCAAAAGTTCCTGCTTGATGGCTAATAGATCAGGAGAACCTGTTTTAGTTAGTGTAAGGAGCAAAGCCGTTTATCCAGGCCAGTACCACTTTGTGGGGCTTTTGACAGTTCCCCTGGGGCAGAATGAGAGTGGGGTGAGCCTGTCTTATGAAGCCCCCCTCTCCTGCTGCCTGTGCTGTCTCCCCTGGGCTGCGGGGCTTTGTCACCTTCCCCGGTACTCCTTGTCATGCCTTTCTGGAACTTTTCCACGGAGGTTCTCCAATGTTGTGTCTGACAGGAGGGACCCAAGTTCCCTGCTACAAAGGAGGCAGGGAAGGCGTATTTCTAGCTTCTGTCTCTGCAGGCCAGAAATCATAACAGTTTGCCAAACACAACAGACTTTGCAGTCTCCTTCTATGCCCTTAAATGCCTTCTCCCCAAGGCAGAGTTTTGCTGTCCTCTGGGGTCTCACCGTTCTCTGCTCACACTTCCACCAAGTCATTCACCAAACTCATTGCCGAGAGATTTCTGCAATGTTCTGGGAGCTCCATAGCTTCACATTTGTGTCTTCATTCACTAGCATCTTGCCAGGATTGAAGAAGATATTTAGCAAGTCTTCATAAATGGATAAAAAGTGGGTTAACCACAAAGGTTGGTTTTCCTAAAGTAACTCTTCGCCAGATTCCCAGCCACTCTGGCACAGGCAGCTGGACACCTCAGGGCTTCATTGTGTCCCTCTGGGTCACAGATACACCTCTGCTGGTCCTTCTGCCTGGCTCCCCACCCCTGAGTTGCCTTCATCTTCAGTGCATGGGGGGCTGCCCTCTCCTGCCTTTGCTGTTCTTGGCTGTCTCCCTCCGTCCAGGGCATCAGTCTTACATATACACCCTGTTCTGAGCCCTGTCTTCTGCAGCCGCTGGGCTGGGTCAGCACTGTTGGCTGGGAGGCCCCCAGGAGCAGCTGGGTGCCCATGTCTGTCCATGTCCCTGGGGATCTCTGGGTACACTGGTTCGAGAGCTTGGGAGCAGCGTGGATACTTTGGGACTGTTGGTGCTGGAGATGAATCAGCATCTACAGGTGCTTTCCTCCCTGGGGCAGTGTCAACAGCAGAGTCTGTGGACTCCGGGGTCCAGCTACTCACCATCTTCCCTCTCTCACCATCCTGCTGCCTCCAGCCTGGTGAGACGACTGCTCACAGTGACCCCGCGTGTTCAGTGGTGTCCCCCACTGTGCTGCTTTCTGACGATGCAGCAGTATGAATGGGTGGTGGGTGGGGATTTGGGTTTCTCGTCCACAGTGGGTAGCAGGAGAGCCTGGCCCAGGTGTGTGTGTCCTCTTGGCAGGCTGCCCTGGCTCGTGTGGACACACAGTGTCCAGGTAGCTGAGGTTCTGTTCTAGGAGGTCTGGTTTCTTGGAGGACCTGGACCAGCTCCACTCACGTGTCCCTGGTTCTCTCTGTACATACGTGGGAAGCCTGCTCAGCTTCAGTGGGGATGGACAAGGACCAGAGAACATTTTGTGGAGATAGAGTGGCTTTCAGACCGCACAGTGACCCAGCTTCCGACTGTCATGGTTGCCTGTGTTCCGGCCCCGTCTCTGCTTTGACAACACAGCTCTGACTGCAGTTGTCTGCCAGGTCCACAGAGGCCTTATCAGGAAGGTGCAGTGGGTATTTCCAGTGACCAGGATGGCGTCGGACATGCTGTCAGGGGCTGCACTTGAGAAGGGAGCGCAGCACCTGCTTGGAAGGGGTGTTCATTAGACAGACCGGCCAGTCTGTCCCTTCACTACAGGGCCGTGAGTCTCTCCCTTGGCGAGTCTGCCTCGGGGAAGTGCACCTCCTGAGTGTCACTAGTTTGGGTGGTGTCTCCTTCATTTGTGCTGTCAGCTGTGTGCTCGCAGCAGTGGTTGGAAGCACAGTTTGTGTCTGTTTGTGGTGTTCCCTTCTTCCAGTGACCAGGGAAGAATGCCAACTAATTCGCAGCATTCCAAAGTCTTCATTCATGACTGACAGCCTCACACCGTGGAATGTCTACCTAGCTACCACGTCCAGAGTGGAAAGAACGAGATCACAGATGAGTTTGTCTCCTCTAGTTGGCCGCACAGAGTGCTGGTGAAGCTTCCGACCAGAGCATAGCCAGGTCACAGGAGGGGCCCATGGCTTTCGGGAAATTAGATTTGCTGTTTTGGGTTCTCCAGGCTTCTTTGCCTTGGGTCCTTCTCCTGCTGTGGACCTTGGCTATCTTTAACAATGACACATTAAATTAACACTTAACACTGCAGCACCAGTTTAATGTGGATGCTTCATTCATATTTAGTGCAGTCAAGCGGAAAGGAGGCTGCCTCGGGCAGTTTGCAGCGCCCTCCCGCCCTCCCACCGCTTCCCGCCCTCCTACCGCCTCCCTTCTGTGTGACCGACCCTGTGTCTCTCCATTTGCGAAGCCAAGGGGCTGAGACAGTGGGCGGCACTGGGTCTTGGGCCAGTGGCTCCACTAATTGGCACAGACACATCTCAGCATTTTAATGCATCCTTCAACACCTCTGCCTACCCTCCTCCGCCTTCTCCTGTCTCCAGGCATCGGAGAGCTGTGGAAATCTGGGCCCAGACCTGCATCTGTGGGCAGGGCATCTCAGCCTCTGCTACATGGCCTGACGCCATCCTGGGAACCCTGGGTACATTGTTAACTACAGGGGACTCTGGCAGACTTTCTTCATTGACCTTTGATCTTTTTTAACCTCCTTGCTTAAATGGAAGGGGTTCTCAGGCGATTTTCCCTTTAAAATGTTATTATTCTTGTCTTGGTTGTTGAATTCAAAGAACAATGATTTATGCACATGGTCCCGAGAGTTTCCTCTGACCGATGTCTGGAGACTCAGCACTGTCTGTGTGTCCTTCAGCCTCCATGTGGAAGTCCTTTTTCAAGGCTGCCTCGAGTCCTCTCTCCCAGGTTTCTTTGCAGGGCCCGAGGAGACTTAGGAAAGACGTTGCTGGTGGCAGTGATGCCTGATGTGGGGAAGAACCCTCTGCACTTAATTTTCACCTTTGCGTTTTACTTGATGTTGCTTTCAGCTCATGCTTCCCTGAAACATTCAGGTACGGACCAGTGTGGAAGGCGGAACCAGGTCCAGGGGGCTGCGTGTAGGGTGAATAGCACGAGCGATCGCAGGAACTTAAAGCTGTGGTCTGCAGAGCGTCCGTGAGGCTCCAGTCTGCCTGAGCCGCATAGGGGAAGAGGACGGAGAGCAGTGGAGCAGCGCGGGGCTGCTGTTTCCTGTCGGCTCTGTGCCGGCCCTGATGCCCGGATGTGGAGCGGTGTGTGTGGACCACACAGGGGCGCCCTGCAGTCTTCACTTCCGTGACCCGCAGACCAGCCGCCACACAGCTGTCTCCTGGCTCCTCGGGCCCCGCAAAACACAAATGGCGCATTTAGGGGACCAGCAGTCTGAGCAAAGAGTAATAACCTCTGCAGTTAACACCTCGAGTTGTGGGGTCCGATGCCCACTGTCCTGCGGGGAGCCTCACAGGCTTGGGGTGATTCGCCCAGGCTGACCAGGGTATAGTTTCCCAGCAGAGCTGGACTTGTGAGATCTGTGTCCCAGACCTCTCAGTGTGGAAGGGCTGGCACACTCGCCCAGAGGGGTCTGAGAATGAACTAGGACAACGAGCGTAAGTCAGCATGGGCTTCATAAGTGCTGGCTGGACTTTGAGTCACCCAGACACTGCTTTAGACCATGTGATCTTACCACTTAGGATCTGCAGCAGCTGGGAGAAGGGGCAGCTGTGGATAGAGGGGCCCCTTGACCCCGTGGCTGGAGTCAGATAGGAGCAGTTTGTGTGGACACTAGAGTTCACTTTGGTTTCCTTCCAGGCGCGCTGTGATCCTTACTGCCTGATGGCTGACAGGGCACTTGGAATGTGGTAAATGGAGTATGCAGCTCCCAGGAGCTTCTGTGAGATACGACAATGTCCTCTCTGTCCACAGATTCCTGTGCTCCTGAGGCTGAGCCAAGACCCTGGGGTCAGTCTGCCCACCATGCCGCTCATGTATGCACTGGCCCTTGGCGCCTGCCTGGGAGGTAAGGGGCCCGGGCTGGGGAGGGAGCGGGTGCTGTGTCTGTCCCAGGCAGCAGCCCGTGTGCTGCAGACTGAAAGAAAATGAAGGAGCTCCCCAAGGTCTCGTGGAGACACATCCTCAGCTGCGGACAGGTCCCGTGGGCACAGTCACCTCTCACTCTGCGAGCTGCCACGGACACTGCACGCGTGTGGCCTGAGGAGTCGGCACCCACGTCTCAGAGCTGCTGTGCGCACGCCTGAGCTCCTACAAACCAGAGTGTCCTCTGCAGCATCCTCAGTCGGGCCGAAGGGCTGGACAGGGAGAGCCTTAAGAAGCCCAGAAGGGGGAAGATGTGCTAGTGTTAGGTGGCTCTGGGGGCTGCACTTTGGAGAAGTTGCAGATGGATTAGAAGTGTCGGATGAAAACGACCTGTGCTGACTGAGTCAAGGCTTTGGATGGGGCCCAGGGGGAGCCTCATTGCCTTCGGGGGCACAGCAGGATTATGGAGAATCTTAGATAAACATACCAGACAGATTTTCTTCTTGGACCTTAGCATGCTGGGGCCATCCAGCCTTCTTGCTCTTTGACAGCCTCTGACTGTGAAATCAATAACTCCCTGCTTAGTCCACTTTCCTGTTCGTGAAGCAGGGTTAGCGTCACCCAGGGGGTCCGGCGGACAGCTGATGCGTCACCTTGGTGAGGAGGCCGGCCTTTCCTCAGGAGGGCAGCATGGCTGTAAATGTTGAAATGGTCAGAGAAGGAGCGGGATGAACCTCATACAGAGCCACTTTGAACACCAGGGTTAGAGGCAGAGTCCAGGGCGCCTAGTTCAGCCCCTTCTGTGGAGTCCTGTTCGCCCCAACTTAACACTGGCTGTCTGCTGCAGTAACGTTGTGCCAGGAGACTGATTCATCACCCTGCTCTAGCATGTGGGAGGAAGTCACCTGAGCTGGGACGCAGAGGGGCTGGTCCTGTGATGGTGGGATGCCGGGGAGTCTGCAGGGAGAAGCCGGGAAAGCTGCTCCAAAAGAGCTGTTCTGACAGAGTCTTAGGAGAGAGGAGGCCCTGGCTAATTCTGATTCGCCCCATCCGTGTAAGATGATCGTGAGGAAAGACACTGACTGTGACTGCCATGGACTAATAGCCTGCAACCCGGGCACTGACCGACTGGCAGTGAAGGCTTGTGTCCCGTGGTCCTTTTCACCCAGTGGCTCTGGTCATTTAAAGCACCGTTCCAGCATGGCTGACGCCCATCTGTGCTGGGTGTCGTGTAACAGTTCTACGGGGACCCTTCTTTCACTACCTCAGGGCTTAGCATTTCAAACACATTCTGGTAAAATGGATACAACATAAAATGTACCGTCTTCGCCGTTGTACGTATACAGCTCAGTGGGATTGGACCTAGTCACGCTGTACCTAATGTACACACTGCGGCTTTCGCATTCTTGTCCGACTGTGGCTCGCGATGTTCCTCGTTCACACGGCATCACCACGCTGCCACCCACGCTGTGCTGTCACTTTGTGATCCACACTGTCCCTCACCGCGGCCAGCTCCAGACCTCCCCTCATCCCATGGGGAAGCCCCACACTCAGGAACAGTCCTGTCTCCTTTGGCCAGGTTTAACATTGTGAAGAACACTTGAGGTAGAAACTCTAGTTGTTATGAACGGTGTCATCTGCTGTGTAAATCGGGAAGATTTGCTTGCTAGCTCCTTTGAAACAAACACACAAAATTCCTAACTGGTCTGACCCTAACGCTTTTTTAAAACTAAGTTAAGAACAATTCAAGTCCCTTTTAATTCTTTCTCTTCTCTTCTCTTCTCCTCCCTTCCCTTCTCTTTCTTTCTTGACAGGGTCTCGCTGAACTCACTGTGTAGCCCAGGCTGGCCTCAAACTCACAGTAACCCTCCTGCCTCAGCCTCCTGAGTGTGGGGGTTACAGGTGTGTGCCATCACGCCTGGCAGTTTTTAGTTTTCATTTCTTCTCTATTGTTGGTGGGAGTGTAAACTAGTACAATCACTATGGAACTCAGTAGGGAGATCCCTCAAAAAAGGAAAACTAGAAACTTCTTGAACGAGTTGAAGACATCGCATCATAGGGACATACACATACCTATGTGCGTAGCAGCACAATTTATAACAGCTAAATCTTGGAGGCAGTCTACATATCCACCAGCAGACAAACAGATGAAGGCCGTGTGATAGTTACACACAAGGGAGTACTACTTTGCCATAAAGAAGGGTAAACTGCAGTGGTTTGTAGGAAAATGGATGCACTTGGAGGTCATATTTGGTGAAATAAATCAGATATACAAGCTTAAATATCTCATGGTTTCTCTTACATGAGAAAACCAAAATAGAAATCAAGCAATTCTTTTAAAAAAATCTCTGAGTTTCCTGGAAAGCAGAGGCTGAGACAAGGTTACACGCTAAGGTTTCCTGGGGTGGAGAGACTGTTAGAGGAGGAGACTGGGCACAGTGAGTGGGAGAGATGCAGACTCCTTCTGAGCCCTGCCAGTCTGGAGACTGTGCTGCTCAGGAGCGTGTGCTGTGTTGAAATCTCTTGCTTTCCTCAGACTGTTCCCACGTCTCTCTGGATGGGTGGCTCCTGACCTCCCCACGGCACGGGTGAGGGTGTGAAGTGGCGCTGCTCCAAGAAGGCAGCCTTTTAATCCTACTTGCACTGGCAGACGCAGGAAATTAGATGGGATCCTTTGTGTGCAGTGTTCACCAAAGTAGGGCAGGGGTCATTTCAGAAACTGGTCACTGTGTCGCAGACCCCACAAGTGTCAAGATACGGCGGCAGCCCCTGTGCGTCCCAGCCCCATCTGCCTGGATGCTGTAGAAGCTAGGAGGAGGTGCGAGCCGGGACAGACACGCAGGCCCTCTTTTTCTCTGCCTCACAGAGCCCAGGCATCTTGGGATACCATCGAAACCTTGCTAGTGTCATCTTACACCACAGAAAGCCCCCAACTTCTAACTTCTAGTGGTCTGACTTGCGAGTTTTTCACTTCACAATGGTGCAAAAGCAGTTCACCTTCAGTAGGAACCACAGTTTGGATCTCGAGTTGTGCTCTCTTCCTGGGCTAGCAACATGGGGCGAGACTCCCCTGCCCCCTGCCCCCGACACCCCCGCAGCCTCAGTCAAGCTCAGGATCCTAAGCGGAAAGAGCGGATGCCCACAGTGTAGGCGTGCCCT